AGTATAACACTGCTCTCTTGTGGTTAAATACATGAAGTTCATCTGCAGAATGTAACAACTGTTTACATCAATTATTTTTAAAAATTTTCAAAGGTATTTTAATCTAAGACAGTTTTTGATGATCAGGAGTTTAAAGTAACCAGGGACAACTCCATCCCTGCACACTATACTGCTTGCCTCTGTTACCTAAAGAGAAAATTTAAACTCCTGCTTTTGGTTCTCTGTTCCATGGAAATTAAATGCCTAAATTAGCCTTAAACAAAAGGTATGCATGCACCCACCCCAATAACAATGAAAATGAAAGTCTGACCCTTCTTGCTGACACACAAAAATGATTTGTTTTTAAAGCCTCCTTCAGCCTTCCAGGCTCAATAAAAATGTAAGCAGAAAGTAAAATGTAAAGAGGACTAGAAGCATAGCTGGAACAAAAGCACCATGCTATTTTTCTTTCAATGTGCAAAAAAACCCATAAATTAAAATTCCCATTGCAGAAGGAGAGATCCTGCTGACAGGATTTTTGGGGGAAATAATAAATAACAAAAGAAGGGCCTTTTGATCATTATAATCAAAATTTGTAAATAATCTAGCCAAATAATACTGAAATGAGCAAAATATTTCTCAAATTGAAGGACAGCTGTCCTCTTTAGCCTTACCCACAATACAATTTCAGATATTGCTAAAACTATCACCACAGTTCATGATTGGGTTCCTAAACAAAATGTTTCAAGGCATAACTATGGAGCATAGTGCATTGCTACAAATCACTGAAATACTAACAGCAAGAGAGGAAAAATCCTGTCAAAGACCATTCCAGACTCTGCCTTTCACATTTGTCTAACAGCAAGAAACAAAAGCAGAATAATTTATACAAACAGATTCAAACATTAATTCATGTCTTTTTCCTTTTTACACTCTTTTTGCTCCTGTACACTTTACAACTCTCCTACAAAAACTCTATCCTACAAAAACTAACTATCCAATACCTCTCCTTTTTTGACGTATTGTAGAGTAACATTAGCTTCATACTTCAAAGTATTTTGAATAATAATGAAAAATTCCCCTCTTTATACATTGATGATTTACAACAGGTATCTTATTCCTTCCAGTCAAGCTACATGCTTCCTCTTCAAATCTTTGAAATTAAATTATCCTTCTCTGGACACGCTCTAGCAGCTCAATGTCTTCTTTCTTGAAGTGATGGGTCCAAAAGCGAACACAGGATTTGAGGTGCAGCCTCACCAGTGCTGAGTACAGGGGAAAAGCCATTGCCCTGGTCCTGCTGGCCACAGTATTGCTGATACAAGCCAGGATGCCACTGGCCTTCTTGCCCACATGTCACACTTCTGGTTCATGTTCAGCCACTGTCAATCAGCACCCCCAGGTCCTTTTTCGCTGAGATGCTTTCCAGACACTTCTGAAGAGTCAACTTCAGCCTTTGTAAGAAGATGTCAGAAACAGAATATCACAAGTTAAAAATTAATCTACCTGAGGAAGACTCACTAATAGCTATGTACCTTTCTACACATACTTAGCAAATTGAGAGATTAATGGGTCACCTTGTCATAGAGGGAGACCAGGTTGGTCCAGAAGAACCTGCTTTTCATAAACCTATGCTGGCTAGTCCTGATCCACTAGTTGTCCTATACCTACCAAGATAATCTGCCCCACTCAAGATAATCTGCCCCACGACCATTCCCAGCACTGCGGTCAGACTGACAGTCCTGGAGTTCCCCAGATCCTCCTTGCAACCCTTCTTGTAGATGGGTGTCACACTGGCCAACCTCCAGTCACCTGGGACCTCCTTGGTTAGCCAGGATTGATGACAAATGATGGAAAGTGGCTCAGTGAGCACTTCCAGCAGATCTGTCCATACCCTTGGGAGGAACCCATTTGGCATGACAGACTTGTATGTGTCCAAGTGGTGTAGCAGTTTGTGAACCTTTACTCTTGAATTACTGGCGCATGCTCCCTGTTCCTGTCTTCCAGCTCCGGGGGCTGGGTACCCAGGGAATAAGTGGTCTAGCTATTAAAGACTGAGGCAAAGGCAGCATTAAGTAGCCGAGCCTCTTCCTCATCCTTTGTAACTATGTTTCTCCCCACATCCAGTAAAGGATGGAGATTCTTGGCCCTCCTGCTATTGTTAAAGCATTTATAGAAACATTATAGAAACATTTTCATTGCTTTTTACTTCAGTAGCCAAAGTTTTAGTTGGGCTTTGGCCGTTGTAATTTTCACCCTGCCTAACCTCACAACATTGTTACAGTCTTTCTGAGTTGCCTGACCCTTCTCCCAGGTCATAAGCTCTCCTCCTTTTCCTGAGCTCCAGCCAAAGTTCTGTGTTAAGCCAGACTGGTCTTCCCCACCAGCTCATCTTACAGACCACAGAAATGGCCTACTCCTCTCCTTTAGCATTTCCTTCTTGAAGAATGTCCATCTTTCCCAGACTTCTTTGCCTTTCAGGACTGCCTCCCAGGAGATTCACTCAACCAGTCTTCTAGACAGGACAAAGTCTGCCCTGAAGAAGTCCAAGGTAGGAGTTCTGTTGACTCCTCCCCTTACTTCTCTAAGAATTGAAAACTATCATTTTGCAATTGTTGAGGCTAAGATGTCTCCAACCATCACATCACCCCCCAGCTCCTCTCTTGTTTGCACACAACAGGAGCAGTGAGGCACCTTCCCCACTGCAGACTACTCAAATTTCACACAGACGTCCAACAACAATGTTCTAAAATATCATACACAATTAAGAGATTATTCAGATAAACCTGGAAAGTAATACACATGTAGCTGAAGTCAGTGTCATTGTATTGGTAAATCACATGGGGATCTGAGAACCTTGTAGAGGAATCAGGATCATAAATGTCTCTGAGACACCTACAATCAATGGCAAACACATTTCAGGTAAAGTGGAAGTGAAACTTGGCTGCAGACATTGCTTAACATTGGGACATCACTTGCTTCAATAGTCTTGCCTGCATAACTTTCTTTCCCCAAGGCATCTGATCAGTAACTCAAGGCCAACTTGTTTAGCAGGTTCACTTTGTCAGTTTGGCTTTTGCAGGAGTCCCATACATAATTTTACAATTTAGGTAGGACTAAAGAACAATGCAATTCATTCCTGACAAGAAGAATAAAGTGAGGGCAGTGAATACTGTTGCATAGTCTCTGCTCTGCCTTTACCCAAAAACTCTGTACCTATATGTGCAGAGATGACAGATTATATATTAACTGTCCCTCACAAGTAGCCGGACAGATCTGGTATATTATAGGAGTATATCAGCAGTGATATTCTAACAGTTCAGGTAATTGTATTCATTAGTCTCCTTGTAATGGGAAACTCACTCAAATCTCTTAGGATCTCCTAGAGGAAAATCTGTAAAACTGGTTTTAAAGGACTGCATTGTACTTTTCCTTCTCACCTATTTACTCAAAACATTTGAAACATTTATTCTTGTTTCAATTTTATCAACTGGAAAATTGGATGTACTTATACATATTTCACAGGCTTTTTAGAGGAAAACCAAAACCAACTTTCATTCCAGAGACCACCCCAGCAACCCTCAGAGGAAGACACGCTGCCCAAAAATTCATCACGAGTGGTAGGAGAGTAAGTTTTTCAGACTTCTTCAGCGACAAGAAGGCAGTTTTTCACAGGATTGTTCCAGCAGATCAATAGAGCACTCATGTTCTTGAGTCTCTTCCTCCTCTCTCATGTCAATAGCACAACCCTCGAGTTGCATTGTGACTGAGCAATTCATTCAGGGACCTTATGTGAACCAGTGTATTTGTAGATGAACAGGGCATGGATTCTGGGTAGGCATAGGTAACCTTCGAGAACCTCAAGTTGCTTCCAAGTTGTTGATACAGAAGCTGTTGGTGCAGAAGCTCTAGTCAAAGAAAATAGGCAACATTTCCATCAGTTCTGAAAGCGAGAACAATCTTTGCAATGAGTGACAAAACTTTTCATTTCTCACTATTCCTAAGATTTGCAACTTCTTAGTATTGAAAACTGTCAGATGACACCAGATGCCACCCACAGGCTTCTCAAGGTATACCAGAGTTCAATCACTACCCTAATTTACAACTGGAACTACATAAAATAAAGACTCTGTTCTATTAACATGTGTAAGTGGTACATAGTTGGTGGGAAAAAAAACAACCCACATGGCCCCAGATTTATTCTTCTTCCTAAGGAAGCAGATCAGCTTAAACTACTTTATAACTGCATTACTGCACAATTCACATCAAACTGACACAAAAATCAGAGTGAGAATCCAACAGCCAAAATGATCATACAGCTCACTAAAATTTGCAGAAGCTTCTGACACTAGATCATTGGTTTCAGAGGTACTAAGAAATTTCTCAGAAGTCCTTTCTGAAACAAAAAGACGCTTCAAAATTCAAAATTCCTGCTGTGGCCAAACCCCAAGATGAACTCCAGGGAGAACAGTAAAATACAAAAGGAGTCCGAAACAATAGTTCTTCCTGAACAGAAGAAACTGTTAGTCACATAAAGCAACTAACATAGAGGAGAGAGACTACTGTATTGAGGGCTTTGTAGATAATTCAGTCTCTCACAGAAAGAATTCCATCCTCATGTTTTTCAGTCATGACAGAATGGTCACAAACCCTGAAATGCCCTGGATTTAGGAACACTGATTTAAAACAGGAGATAACTTGCTCCACCTCACCACACTGCAGACACCGAGGAAAAAGGGAGCCAATTCATAGGCCTTTTGCTCCCCGGGACTCACCTGCCCTCAAATCCTCTTCTGCAGGCACTGCATGGAATTCCATCCCTGTTGCTCCCCGCTGCCCCAGTACAGCAGACTAGAGCAGCACACAAGACAGTGAGAAGTTTTGACAGAAGAAGGTAAGACTGGCAAGTAGGGAGCCGAGCTGGCTATTCAGTATGGATTTCATAGCAGTTGTCAAACTTAGGTAGACAAAGCAGCCAACATGTATTTTAAAAGAAAGGGAAGGCCAAACTCTTACGGACCAAGCAAGGAATGGCAGAATATGATAAAGTTAAATAATTACTAAATCCAGAAAAAAACAGACACACATCTAGATGATATAATTTTAGGAGCATAATATATCAAGTCACTTAAGCTTCAGGTTTACTCAAAAGATAACTTTTAAAATTAAAATGAAAGTATGGCATTTGCACTCTAATTTCTTACATCTGTGCAAATAAGACTCAGCAGTAGGAGGGGATACAGCTGTCAGTCTACTCTGTGTAAGTGAGCAGGGAAATAGAAGACACACAGGATATATAAGGGACACATTCAAGAGTCTGACAGGATTTAGGTTTTATACATCAGGATCATCAGACAAAAGACTAAGTGAAGGCAGCTACTGTAAGCAGTGGATCATAATAAATTTGTAAATAAGTGGCTCCATCAAGTGCTCTGGCAGGAGAAAATATAAGCTGTACTTTAATTAGTTTTAGATAATGCAATTTAAGAAGTTGTCTAATATGGTCAGATCTTAAGATACGAAAGATTCTGCAACACAAAAGGCCACTACCACACACATCTACAATATAAAGAAAATTTTATTTTATAAACTCATGTGAACAAAACTGAGGTCAGATGAACAAGTTGAGGTGGGAATTAATGTTTACTTACATATGGAATTTAGACTATGTGCTAGCAGATCTCTCTTCCAGGTCTTTTTTATCTCAGAATGCAACTCCCTCATATTACAGGCACTTAACAGGCAGCTGTAGTTTACTTACAGCACAAAGTTTCACAAACATAAAAGTTCATCTCCTAACCCAAAATAAATCAGAATATTGTTTGCACATGGAATAAAGAGTTGCATCAGCAAACTGCAGAAAAAACCATGGCAACTATACTACTCTAATGACGAAGTATTACCATTATATACAGTCAGTGATAACACACTAACAAAAAGTTTATACTTTGTTATTTACACTGGAGTGCAAACAGAAGGTACACCTCAGCTGCCACAGTAATAAATTTCCCTCCCCACACACACTGCTTTCCTCGATTTCCCAGGTTTCAAACACACTGCTACATAGTAATGGAAGCCCTCTTTTGCTTCTGTGCTTCTCATAAAAACATCACATTCACAAGCTTGGTTTCTGGGAAACTAAGGAGGAGGTAATTTTACAAACCCTACAACACCCAAACTTGAATAGCATAGGAAAGACCTGTTCTAGAACAACACAATACAGCACCTTACAGCAGTTTCCAAGTGGACCCACCACTCATGTACACTATGAAGTTTCCTCAGAAGTCTCCACTGCAGCTAAATATGAGCTCTCACTTTCCACGCTGGTACCTGTTCAACTTCATCAGTTCTTGTAAGGCTAGGTTTTGCATTTAGCTTCAGACTGCAACGTCCAACCTGGGGAGAAGGGATGGAGTTAAAATTATACCTAAGACAACTCAATTAGATGTTTACAATAGAAACAGCTTGGAAGAGTTGTTGTACTTCTCTTAATGTAGGAAGAATAAAATAGTAAGCCTGTGCAATTGGTTTAAGTACATTTATTTTTCAAAATACTCAACAATTATAGGTTTGATTACAAACTCATAAGATGATTCTGCTTTAAGCAGAAAAATTCCATCTTTTTGTATCTACTCCTGAATATGCTGACCTTAAGCAGTCTCTCTTTCAGGACTTTATAATCCAGCTGTTAGAGGATCTATTTTTGATCTTTGTATCTAGAATCAGGTGTGTCAGCTATGCAATGCATGGCCTGCAGCATCCAAAATACAAGCCTGGCTATCTTTAAGAAGTGGGTTTTTTTCTACCCAAAGGAAAAATTAAAAAGTCAAAGAAATTTATTAAGACTGGACCAGAGCTGTTGACTCACTGCAGCCTGTAAAACACATGCTACGTTTTGCTTGCAAAATCCTTGGGGCAGCTGAAAAAAATAAAATAATTATAGCTAGAAAGAGGAACACACACACATCAGTTTTCCTCAAGTTTTCAGCCATGCAGCTAGCCTCATGTATGAGCAGCAGCCTTCAAAAAACATCTGCATTTCCATTATGTTTTATGCATTACTATTACTTATTAGAATAACAAGTGCCACAGCCCAAATCATTTATCTCACTCTTATGATAAAAAGACAGAACTGCTAAACAGAGAGAGACAGTTTAAATTACTGCCACCTATTTCTATCCACCTCATCTAAGCAGTTCTGAGGTTTGTGAAAATGTTTAACAACCAACAGTACTGCTGGATTGTGTAAGCTGAGGCAGCTTGCACAGGCTGCTCTACAAAAATCAATGCTCAGGATCACCTTAGTCTGCTCACCTAGACAGTTTTGCCTACCATGCTTCTTTGTTCATACAAAAAACTGTATTTTTCATGGGCTTTACAACAGAATCACACCTCATTTTGGATAAAGATACAAACTGTGTGGAAATTATGCTACCTCAAAGAAAAATATTACTGGCTATGCTTTTGTTTTAATTTCTGAACACTTAGAATGTGTTAAACCTTTCTGTGCCTTCCCAACATCTTTATTTGTAAAATATCTATGCATGGGTACCTGCCAGTTACCATCAAGTAAATGTCTATAGTTCAATCAACCATGAGCCACATTTTTAAAATCACTCTTCTAAGTTTTTTCTCTTGGCACATGTAGAATTGTATTTACCACTCTAAACCCACCCAAAATAATTATTTTTTTATATTCTCTGTCTTGATTATACTTTTAAAAAAGCAACTAGCCAGGCTGATAGCTAAAAAAATCGAAGAGAAGTTTTAGCCTTGTGAAAACCCTACAACTATCCATGCAAACAGCAGTCATTTCAAGAATATAAACACACATTCTTATATAAAAACATACCGTTGGGATCTCCGGACTAGAAAATGGAGAGTTATCAAAAGATCGATTTTCTTTGTCCAGAGAATCATCTTCATCATAATTTTTATGTGCAAATTTCTGCTTCAGTGCGTGAGTTAGTAGAGCAACTGGATCCCAATCTGAACTTTGTCTCTTTTGGTGTCTAGGAAGAGGAGTACCTCCAGGAGACCTAAAAAAAAACCCCAAAAAAACCCTAAAAAATTGTCTCCTGACCCTATTCCTGTGCTGAGTGATCCAAAAACTAGAGACACAACTTCTGTAAACACCCTATCCTATAAATGCCTGATTACACAAATAATGCTGCTGTTACATTACAGAAATTCATCAAATACAACTAATACAAGTACGCCCAAAAACTTGTCAGCCACATTCTTACCCTGGGATCTTCAGACTCTCAGTTTCTGAGAACACAGGTTTTCCCTTGGCAGTGCACACATGAAACTATTCTCAGACTGCAGGCTGAAAGATTATAGCAATTTTGGCCATCATTAGTCCCCCCAAGCAATATAAATTCTTTATCCAGTTAAGTTCTACCTTCAGAATAAAGGCAGATGCCTAAATCCAGAAAGCATTTTGGACACACACTTACCACTTCTAATTATGCCCATGCTCAACATGTTGGGTATTAAAACTGTCAACCTAAACTCACTTTCTTGACTTACCAAACATGAAATTATATAGAAGAAAACATACGTAAAGGAAGCACACAGGTTTACCTAAATGCACTTTATATTTGCCCTATTTACTGTGAAAAAGTCATTAAAACCATAACGACATGCTTTAGAGTTGCATCTAGATAATTTGCCCAAGATTTGAGCTCGTTACTTTTAGGGATAAAGCTCACAGTTAAGAAAATATTGAAAGGAGAATGCAGTAAGTTTTGCCAAGTGACATTCTTCCCACATTAAGAGTTTCAAATATTCATTATAGACTCAGTTATTCTTACATATTCTTACATATTTTTTCAACTCAAGAAGTTCAAAGACATCTGACAACCTCTATGATGCCTAGCACAGCAACACTGACTTGAAGAAGTGTTGCAGTCTTTAGTAAAGCATTTTTGTAACAGGTGTTTACCATCAAAACAGCTGACCATTAAAAACACTTATAACCCAAGCGCAGTATTGAAATACAAATTCGTGAAACATTTTCAATAAAAGATACAGCACGCGTTTTCTTTAACACTTCAAAGCTTGAACCAGGATAGTTTGAGCATGCTGAAAGTAGTTTTCCAAAGTTTCCCCAAGGATTTGGCCCTTCACTGTGAATCCAGAAAGTTACTTGTTTAGATCTATTTCCTGTGATGGTGTAGGAAACCTTGTAAGCGATCTCCCACCCCCCCCCCACCAACTTGAGATTTGCATACTGAAGCAGCAAACTAGTTTAAATGCTGTGACATTCAGCAGGTTTTAAATGCATCTAAAAGCCATGTCACAAGTATCTTACATTCCAAGCTGTGAACTCAGACGTTGCCAACTTCAGTTTGACAGCAGTAGCTGCTCAAGAAATGATGTTTCAAACTGGTGTTCTCTGGTGCTACTGAAGTGCTGTTGATGCTTACACAGCCTTGGCTTGCTGAGGTACACATTTAATTCAACCTACCTCTCAACAGCTCGCAACTGAACTTTGTTCAGGTCTTTCAAAACATCCATCATACTAGGAACGTTCTTTGTCTTCTGGTGATCAGCACTATCAGCTGTACTTGAATCACTGTTTCTTGCAGCACGGCGTAGTTTTATGAGTTCCATTGCAGATTTACTAGAATCAACACCAGATGGTACACCAGAAGGAAGTGGAGGAGGCAAGGGAATTACAAAGTGATTGTGAGAGACGGACAATGGTGTGGAAGTCATGGCTGGCACTGGGTAAAATCCATCTGGAGTGCTGAGTGTATTAAAGGCTACATACAGTTAAGAAAAGAAAAAGAACAACATATATTAACATCTAGGATGACTTGATTTTAAATGAAGATAAGACTGCCCTCTAAAAGCACTTTCTCACACACCTCGCACATTATAACACAGAAGAACTAGACTCAAAGAACATTACTTCAAACCCACAGGTTCAAAACACATGAAATAATGAATCTGAGGTGTCCTATGCTGCTCTGATCTTCTCTATTTGCGTTTTCAGTCTAAGCACTAGATAAATCAGCACAGCAGCCCTCCACCAGCAACTATTATACAGTTTGCTCTTGATGGTCTGAAGGTTATAACAACACACATGAAGCAAAAGCAAAGATAGTCACGAAATACGTAAAATAGACTACAATACTGAGTACAATGGAGAAGAGACAGAGGAAGAGTCATCAGAACAGCTAACTGAATTACAGAAGTCTTCCCAATGCCACATAAAAGTAAGTACCTCGCACTAGTTTATGTATTTCAGCAACAACAGTGGGGTTAGTCTGCAAGTAAGACAACCGAGACCTCGGAATTTTTAAGGGAAAAAGAGAAGTCACAAGATAGAAGTTCATGCCGGAGACCAACTATCTTAGACACATCTATCTATTTGTTTTTGTTAAGGCCCAAACCTGATTGACTTAAAATACTTTTTCTATCCGTTATTTTGATAACTTGTTAGAAACAACGCAAAACACAGAGGGACAAAATAGTCTGTAATTTTTTTAAGCAATAATTGGTAGCCTATATAGTGATGTTATTAAGCTCCTTCGCAAACATGGAAATGAGTACAAAGATTACTTAGGATCTACTTTTGAACTTGGTAAACAGGCCACAAAATAGAAGTGAGAGAGGGCCACCAAACAGCAAAAAGAGAAACAAAATACTATATTTGGTAAATTTAGTGGTGTATGTTCAGTTCAAAAGTTAGAGACATTCTCTATCAGACAAGGTAAGCTCTAAAGCAAAAAAATGAAAACTGGTTTGCTTCAAACCAGAAGGGCTTACGTGATGGAATGGTTCCCAGTGTCTGCGCTGAAACAATTGCAGCAATCTGAGCACGAAGAAAGGTTAGCTCATCTTCAAGCGCAGAAATCTTCTGGAGTGCAGCTTGATCAATATTGTCTTTGTGTGTACTGTTTCTTGGAATGCTCTGTATTGAATCTATAGATGGATATAGGTTGTGACAAGCTGTGCTTTTCTCTTTTCTCCGTAATTCAGTCCTAGAAAGCAACAAAAGACACAGTTTCAAACTGAGCTGTTGCTCAGCCAACAATGGAAATCTCAAAACTACTGTCTGTTCAAGAAAGTTACTGTCATTCAGCAAGACCTAAATTTTCAAATCATCTAAGAAAACTACACTTTTAACTACTCACAAGCTTTAAAACGTTTTAAGTCTTCCTTTGCTCAAGTAGATCCTTGCAAAGTCATAAAAATCATAAAAATTAGATAATTTACTCAGGGATAATTAAACATCACAAAGTCACACAGTAGGATTAAGTTGTCCTTACTCAATGACTATTAGAATGACACCATGTGGTGTCTCTCCCTTCTTGCTACGTGAATATGAAAGGCAGGAGAATCAAAGACTAATGATCTCTTAATTACGCTTCAGTAATTTCAGTCATTTATCAAACTCTAAGAGAACACTGCAATAAGCAACGAAATTACAATCTTTCAGAAAATATACTGGAGAAAAACAAGGTTTAATATACACTTACAGAATAAGAACCTCATCTTGTATAAGCTACTATGAACAAAGACAGCATTAGAAAATTGTGCTGTCTCAGGTTTTAACTTTAAAAATTGTTTCGAGTCTGTGCCTGCAGAAAGAACCTTAAAATATAAAATAAGTATAAAATCTCATCATAAAACAAAGAAATTAAATTTATTTTATTTATTCAAGATATACTAAGTTTTGATTGAAAACAAACCAGACCTTTTCCCTTATATTAACCATCCTGCAGCACTAGCTTTCTGATTTGCCAAAAACACTTGTTATTCACAAGGTTTGAGAGTGAAAAGATATCAATTAGAATAGCTGTTCTTGAAAAACATCCCATAGAGCTAGAAGAGGAGGAAAGAATGGAAACAACAAAAGAATGAACTGTCATATGTCTGTGAATCTGACCGGCTAAAGAACAGCATAAGCATAAGCAAGACAAAATAGGCCTTTTAACAATATTCCTTTGAACAGTATTCTTACTCTTGCAGTATTTTACCACTGTTGCATGAACACACTGTATCAAAACTTCTACAACAAAAAGTGTGTCCTTTGAATCCATCAGTTTCTTGTATTGTCATTAGTAACAAGCAGAACAACGATCACAAACAAACAAATACCAATACGAAGTAGAATTACATCATCTTTTACAGATAGAGTAAAAGACAATACAAGTGCTCTCTATTTCATCCTCTGATTTTGAACAAATCTTTTAGAGGAAAAGTAAGACAACTTTCTCTTTCTTCTCTAGTGGGGAAAAAAAGACAAAACTCGTATACTATTTGTGTCTGCAAATTCCTGGACAATTTGTCTTTTCACAGTACTTGAAATACTTTGTAATTCTTTCTAGCCTTTATAGAATGTTGAAGGAAAATATAAAGGCTGGAAAGAATTATATAAACTATGCTTAAATCTATTTCAAATTGTTAAAATAAAAAAAATGTTTGTACTTCCAGCAAAGCAAGCACACAGAGCAGTGTAGAAATCAAGAAGAATAAATACATTTAAATATTTTTTCTTGTTTTCCCCTGTATAAAATGTATCAAAATGGTTGCAAACTAAAAGGATAAGGATAGGAATAATCTTAGGGTATACTGCAATAACCAAATTTCTCTCCAACTCACAAAATATTTTGTGAGTGAAAACCAATTAAAATACCCCCAACACATCTGACATGCTACTATGAAGAGAAAATAGGAGACTAAATTTCAGAAATTTTTTGGATAAGAATACTTTACACATTAAGAATTTCCAAGTAAGCAGGAACTGCCCCCACCAAAAAAACCCTAAGATGTTTCTGGAAAATGCTAGGAAAAAAGAAAAAGAAACAAACATGGATTCACATCCCATAAAGAACAGAAGGCTTAACTCCTTTTACTCCAATTACTCATTTTTATACTTTTACTTACCTATGTCTAGTAAAAGCCTGTCCTTCATCACTTGCCACCCACAGGACATCAGCAAGTGATGGAGCCACAGAAGTTGGAGCTGCACTTTGTTCATCATAACCCAATGGATCTGGGTCTTGAACAAGCTAAACCAAACAAAAACAGCACAAAAAGAGAAAAGAATTCAGCACATACTGAAAGCTCTGCCTCAGCAAAAGGAATTTTTAAACAGTGATGTAAGGGAGTTGAAAAGAGGGAGCACAAAGGATACAACACACAAATTACACAAGCTAAAAAGAACAGAAAAGCTATTATCAAATTAAGAAACAAGAAAATGTAAATAGGTGAAGTATACATATGACAACAAATTGCATACTTGAAAATAAGGTCTTGGATAGGGCTCCAGGGAAAGAATTGTCCCAAGTCTCCGGACAACACTTCGAGTAGATCCATATTGCTTTTTTTGGCAAACAGATACGACCTAAAAATCAGAAAACCTTTGAAATTGAGAAGCAAAACCAAATTCCGCAGTTCTTACAATCCAAATTATTAAATTCTTTAATATTATATGTAATTAAATATAACACAGCTAGGTTAACTTAACTTTCCCATGCTCTTCTCAAGCTGAAAGTCCAAAGAAGCCTACACTGGTTTTAACAATGTCTAAGACATTTCCAAAATACAGCCTGTTCACAGAATACTTTAAAGAGGCACAAAGGCAAATATCCTGAGATACTGAGAAAAGAAAAAGCTCACGTTTAAGTAATCATACGTATCCGTGTAAGTCTTTTGGGAAAAAAAGTTAGTAAAGAAGTTAAATAAATGTAATGTACCTTGATTTGATACTTCCTTATGATGGTGTATAACCGCTGGAAATGCCTTCCTGATGAGACTGCTGAAGGAAGGCACGTTCTGACTGCACGAGTGATACTGCTGCCAAGCATGCGAGTTTCAAAAAATATGGCCTGTCAAAAAACACCAAGAAGTCCCAGCGGTGGAAACAGAAAATAAAGGGGACAACTCAGCCAAACTAGCGGCCCTAGAGACACTCGGCAGTTTCACACACACGCTCTGGGAAGCACACGCTGCAGCAGCACCTCGCTGCTGACACCCCCCCGAGGAGCTGCCCACAGACTCCACTCCAGCATCAGCCCCGCCAATGCACCAGTGCGCTGTCTCCGCTTCCCATACCGTACCTTTGCCAGGTCTCTGGAAGCACAGAATTAACTTGGGAATGGGTACGCAGCCTCTCACCTAAAGCCGCAGAGCAGGAGCAGCTGACGCTGCTGACTGTTCCGCTCTGCTCAGGGCAAAAAGCGTGCCTTGACCGCCCGTGCCGGAGCAGACCCACGCGTTCCCACGGGCGGGCAGCGTGTACCGACGAGCCCGGCTGTGGGCGCGGAGGGCGCGGAACCCGCCGCACGGCCAGCGCTGCCCACGCGTCTCCCGCTCCCTCCCTGCGCGGAACCACGGCGGCTGCGGGCGGCACGCCGCGCAGCAGCGGGGTCTCCGGGCGCCGCCCGGCAGCAGACAGCCCCCGCCACCGCGGGGTCCCTCTCACCTGGTGGGGCGGCCAGCCCAGGAGCTCCAGCAGCCGGCGGAGCAGATCCAGCAGCAGCGCCATGGGCGGGCGAAGGGGCAGGCGCAGCCGGACCTGCCGCCCGCCGAAACAGCGCCCGTCGGGCACGGGGGCGGGGCACAGGGGGAGCCCGCCAATAGGAGCCCGGCAGTGCTCGGGCAGAGCCAATGAGGGGGCGGGGCGGGCCCGCGCGGGCGGTGTCGGGAGGGAGCGGTTTGAAGAGGGTCCGTCAGTGCCCCGGGCCCGGCCGCGGCACCTCCGGGAACACCCAGCTCCAGCCACGGCCAGAGCAAAAACCGAGAACCAACCTGAGCTCACTTCAAAACAACAAATCTGGCTTTGGATACCGTTATTTGGATACCTGCTCTTTAGTCCTGCTTGTAAAGATTTCTGCTGTTTACGAAATTGAATACTTCAAGAATGCTTGCAGTGTGACAAAGTAAGACAGTGCTTCTGCTCAGAAAAGTAATGTGGATATCTTTTCCCTCCACCTGTGCAGATAGTGTTACACTATTACTGTAAGTAGTGTAGTTACTATTACCCATAACTTGTCACACAGGCTGATTCTCCAAGACCAAACACAAAGAAGGAACAGTACCGGTAAGACACACTGTAGTAACAGCACAGAACGCGTTCAGGGGCCTAGGAAGGTTTACGCTTGAGGTTTTAGTTTGACTGGATCAACACCAGTAACCAGCTGCTTTAGAACTAGAGGTGCACTTGACAGAGACCTCATCAAGAAAGGCTTCAAGGCAGCAGGTACAACTCTGAGCAGTACAGAAGGGACCTGCAGGATCTTCTGAAGAAAAGGATTTTGTGACAGGCCAGCTTAAAGAAAAGACGAGAACTGACATGGGGCTCAAGGCCTAGTGCTGCTGCCTTTACCTCTGAAAATGGACCAGGAAAGCTTAAATCCAATGTAGCTGCCCACTGTTACAGTAATGCTACTGATTCTGCCTCCCCAGGAACAGGATGTGAGGTTTAATTCCAAACCAAGAAACTGATCAAGTACACATAGTCTAGAACAGGATAGCTGGATTTTTTGTGTGTTTTGGGGGGTTTTTGTTCAGGTTGGTTGTTGGAAATTTTTTTGCCTAGTAAAATGGATGTCTGATTTTATCTGAACTGCAGGGATAACTTCAAACTTTATAAGCACGCCATGCAGAGACGAAGTGGATTCACAAAGTGCTTCAAAGCTGGAGAGCAGCGAGTCAGAAGGAATTATTGAACTCAAAATTTTATGCCAGCATGTCTAGACTTTTTTCCCTGGAGATCCATCAGTGATGGTCTTTACCTTGTAACAAGAAACGCACAATGCATGACTCTGGTGAATGGAATTTAAGTGCAACTACCTTGGTAGTACCAGGTGAAAACTTCAAAACGTGTTTTTCTCACAACAGGAAAAATTCACTGTTAATGCTGAAAGACTAATAGGTGCTGAAGCATGAGTTTTGGATTTATAAAAAAAATCATCTTCACTCCCACTTTCTTACAGATCTCTGACAATCAGACTACAACTTGCATCTTTCACTACATTATCTCTTAATTTGAACTAATTTATTTTTAAAAATGCTTATGGCTGTCAGTATGTGTTCAGAAATCAAATTTTATTTTTAATAAACTGCAATGAAATTAAGGATTATTAAAAAAGGATTTTTATGCTCCAGTCTACAGACAGGTCTGTAGGATCAAATGCCATTAGCAAAGCAAACTCTACTAGATCTCCCTGAGCATTCAGCTGAAGCACAAAATTTACATCTGCCTATTCACCCAGGAATTATCTTGCCTTATGACACAGACCACAACAATCTATTTTCAACTTGACCTAGATGATACAGATTACCTCTTCTAAGGTTATGACAGCTCAAGTATATTTTGGTCTTACTGGTTATTTTCAGATTGCTGCTAAATTTTACTTCATTAGGAAAGACTTTGATACTTGCGTTGTTTGTTTTGTTCCTTTTCTTGCCTATTCTGATTTAATATACAGAAATGTCTGTGTGACTTTTGTTATAAAGTCCAAGGATTTTTTACATTTTTTACATTCTCATTTTTACATTTCAAACAGCTATTAAAACATGCACTGTACATGTAAAATGAAATCTTGCAATACAGTATAGTTGGACTAAACTTTCCAAAACAAAGCAGAAATGACCCTTTAGTAACTAACTACTACTGAGGGTAAGTATTATTCCTGTTTTCCTTTCTACACAGCTGCTGGCAAACCAGTACAATCCAAAATACAGTTTCTTCAACTAAGTTAGGATTAAAGACAGTACTGTTTTCCTGCCTTCTAGTATTTAACTTGGATAGTGCAAATGGTTAATTACTCCCTAACTATAAAGCCAATAAGAGGGCATGCATTATATATGTATTTAATACAAGTATCTGTATCAGATTAAAAAAAGAGGAACGGAAAAGCTTTATTTTTCAAAGACAGTATGCTATTCCAAGGGGTGAACAAGAACAACTACACTTTTAACTTCATATAACATTAAGATTTAGTTTATCAAAAGCTGTTTGAGAAAGAAAACCAAAGTAATCTTGTTGTATTAGAATGTCCTTGTTCTGGTAACTCAAATATGTTAGTGTCACTCTCAACATTCTGGAGTTAAAGTGTGCACCTACTACTAAACTAAGCTTGTGGGTTTGTTATTTTTCTTAAAAAAAAGAAAAAGAAAAAAAAAGAAGAAGAAAAAAAGTAGACTAACGTTTGCGCTTCGGCTACAAAAATTCCAGAAGCACAACTATTAGAAATAAAAAAAGATACCGCCACCAATTTACTCACTAAAGTGTTCTGTTGGTGTCTAAGCTATCAAAGAATACACTTGAAACTCACTTTAGTATTTATATACATATGTATTTCTTACGCTACTAAAGAAGAGTGACAACTTCACCGTTAAAGCAAAATTCTTGCTGCACTCTCGCAGGGTGGAATAAGAATCCAGGTTTATCACTGATACTGTGTGAATCTAATTCTTGTGAACTAACATATTCAGCATTTTGCACAACTGTTTGTACTTACACTATGACTGTATAACTACTCAAATACAATTCTTATAAAAAGGCAACACAGAAGTAATAATCAGTTTATAAAAAATGCTGCTCCAAGATTTCAGGTGTGCAGAACTGTAAGTTTACTTCAGAATAAAACACAGACATAGGGGAGAATCAAAACTTTTAGAGTTGTACTTGACCATATATTTGGACAAAGCAGAATTACACTGCATATAACAAACAGTAAAATTTCTTAAAAGTTGTTACAAATATTTTACTTTCTACCTGTACGATCATTAACATAGTTTACTATATCATGATTTTTTCTAAAGGCTTAAAACAAAAACAATCCCCCTAAACTACTTTCCAACAGTAAAATTTAAGTAAAATGCTTACATTCATTTGACAACAAAAAAACATATTAAAAATGTTGTGAGGGTGGTGCAACAGCTGCTCTTTCAGCTACAACTTTCTTCTAGAGTTATTCCTGTGGGAAGAAAGAAAACAGTCTTGTTGTAAACTGTTAATAACCAACCTCCAAAACCTTTTAAAGTGATCCCCATTCACACCCAATGACTTTCAAGACGAACTGTCTAATCTGCAATTGACTGAACGATTTACCTTTTCCTCTTTGCGTCTGTCCTTTTCTTCATTATTCTCAATCGTTTCTTCTTCATCTTCCACAATGCCATCCCCTTGATATTTGTCATGTGTCCACTTCGGACTGCTACCTGACTTTTTGAAGTTAAAACGCCCTCTGCCACGCTGGAAAGTACCACGACCTCTTCCTCTTTTGGCCCAATAATCCACTCCATCGTCTCTGTCATCATGCTACAATAATGCCAGACAAAGAGTAAGGTTAGAACACCTCTTAAATGTACCCCTTAATGTTAGTATTCTACAGCAAGTGTATAAAACTAAACGTTCAAAAGTTCTCTTCAGATTGTATTTTACAAAATGCATTATGAAGTATATTCTTACAATTCATGATGCTGTAACTAAAACCACAACATTGTTTTAAGAGCCCCTATTAGCTCTGGGTCTCCTAAATGTTGTGAGTAACAAATAGCTTATCTGTCACTTATCTTCAGAATAAAGAACTACTGGTTTTGAGGGGAAAAAATTGTTACTTTAAAAAGAAGCTCTAGGAATGTATTAGGATTTTTTTTTAAATTATTTTTATTTCAGGTCTTTATAGTTAATAAGGAAAAATAATTGATGGCAGTTTTCAGAAAACCTGCTTCCCCTGCAGAACACAGGGTAAATGAAGTTTAAACTGTTTAAATCTGACATTAACAAACAACAGTTGAGTTGGTTAGTAAGCCAAACTTTGCTGTCTTGCTACCAAATACAGCCTTCCATAGTTTGATAAATTCTGACAATCATTCCATGCACTGCATAAAAGCTACAGATAATTATTTAATACAAAAAAAGGTTTACATTTAGAACATGAGGTACACTTTCTTCAACATATGTTTTTTTTACTTGTGATTTGGAAAGAAATCTGAACTACTAAACATGTATCATAAAGCATATCATATCATAAAGCAGTTTAATAACTACATAAAAGTAGCTAAGGGGTGTAATTTTTTTCTAAAAACATTCTTAATGAATTCAAGTTTAATAGCTACAATTAATTGTTCTGGTATCATAGCAATTCTTAATAAACAGATCATCATATCTCTATGTTTACAGATCAGAAAAGTTTATATACGTGTAGGAAGACAGAAAACTCCTTGTATAATCATCCAAACCGAGATTACATTATTTTTTAGTTACCTGTTAACATATCTGTGGCAAGCTGAAATGCTATAGAAGGTCTAATCCTCACTATTTATTTTTCAGTGGTGAAACAATATACTTCAAAGTTTGCATTATTAAGGACATCAACAGGAGTAGAGGCCACATTTTCAGTATACTACACTACTTAGAGTGGTTACATCACCAGTCCTCCTTTCATAATCCAGATGGGAAAAAGGCATCAAAACTATGGTGATTTTCTTATGACTATCACACTACTCAACTAAGAGCAGAAAACTGCTCATAACAAAGTCAGCCTACATACATCCACAAATACTGTCAGCTTTTCCTGATCCTCCACTTCTGCAGGCTTCCAGACAAAGCTCAAATGTCATACAGAGATAAATTCAGGAAAAGACAGCACAAATCTTTTTGGTTTAAAGTTTGGTTTTAATAATTTTTGTCTAAGCCTGCCTTCTTCCCTGCTCCCTGATGAAAGTACTGGAGATAAATTCCACGTCAGGCCTCAGTTACTGCCAGCCTGCTGCAGAAAGATGCAAGAGAAGCAGAACCAGACACTACAACCACCCTAATATTCTCACAGTCACTTAAGGCCCTGTCCATACATGCATGCTACTTCTACACTGGTAGAAAGTTCGAAAAAACAAAAGCATGCATAAGACATTGAGTTCTCCACACCCACCAAGAAGTATTTCTTGCTTTTTGGGGTATATTCAGGATCCCATTCCTCTTCCTTCGGTCTCTTCTGAAAAGTAGTATTTGAGTTGCTGGGACCAGTATTTGTTCCAGCAAAGACTCCTCTGGCTCTTCCTCTGCCCCTAATTCGAAACTGATTAACCAAGATGTCATTTAATCCATTTACATAAAACCACAGAGTTCAAGTTCTCTATTACTGAAAATTCTCTTTCTGTGCTTAATTACAGTAAGTGTAAAACCATTTTCAAATTCACATATTACCTTAAGTAATATATTCAAGCATTCACTTTGAAATAATGATTCTATTAAACTTAATTGAAACACATTTGAACTTGGCATAAGTTCACCCACAACCATCAAAAAGAAACTCCCTTTGACTGCTGGTAAACCAGCAATTTTTGTGTTGCAACAAAGGGTCAGAATAGCTTCTGAAGCTGTTCAGTGACAAAAAACAAACAAGAAAACTAGACTGGAAGAGGGAGAAAACTGTGAGGGGGGAAAGTAGATATCATTTATGGAGTCAGTCGTATCAGTTATGAGGAAGTAATTCTAGCATACATACTAACAATGTAGTTTTTAAAGGAGTATATCCACAGTGTGTTACTCACACATTTTTAACAGACTCAAAAATGTACTTTAGGCCAAATTAAATTTTAAATGAGTAAATTCTTTACTCAAAAAAATCAACAGTATGTACTGTACAGAGTACCAATGCTTGAAGTAAAAAAGTGTCTTAAAATATTCTTTATAATGTATTAACAGTATTTTTAAACATTAGGCTAAAAAGTCTCACAGCAAAAAAACAGCTTTAAATCAGAATACACTAAGTAGTAATATATATACTTCCCTTACCATGGAAATATTTAGCTTGCAGAAAACATTAAATGATTTTATATTCTTCATCCAAAGGGACAAGAAAGGTTAGGCTGGGAAGATAAGAACGCTAAAACTTGCAGTTGCTACAGAACACAATTTCCATAAACAGCCTACTGAACAAGACTGCATCTTTGGAGTAACAGTACAAAAACATAACTTGGAAACTAATTTAATTTGTTAAAAATAACTGTGTTTCATAAACATAGACCAAAAAATTTATGATTAACTAACTCAGAAGTATTATGAACACTTAATTCCACAAAGCTCCAATACTTCTAATACAGAATTTATGCTGGACAATTTTAAAACTACCCTGAAATCAAACAGACTGAAAAACAATCAGTAAAAGGCTCATAAGACCTGTCCCATACCCTGTAGGCAAAAATAAATAAAAAATTGCACGGAGAGTAATTTGTAAAGCAAGACACTAACTGTACAGGAGAGGAAATACTACATGCTTGCTTTATTTCCAACAGCTTTGCAAAACTAGGGTACAACAAACAGTATCCCAGTGGATACAGTGAGTGGGAGAAGGATACAAAGACAAAATTATGACAGGATTAAAAAAGAAAAAAATAATTATCAACATTTCCTGGTATTAGGTCCTACGATCAGATTCCCTTAAAGAAAAACGGCTTGAGTTTTCCTCATCACTGTATGAATGCTTCCCCCTACAACGTCATCTCTTTCAGGTAAAGAACTACAGGAGGTGAAATCTAAGGTGTTATATGGGCTTGCTTACTACAAAGACCACCACAAAAAACAAAGAGTACAATTTCTGTATAAAACTCCTTTTAAAAAGAACTTTTACACACAGAATTCTCTTGGAGCTGGATACTAATGAGCCTGTCATTGAAAAATTCTACTTAACCTTATTTCTGTTTGTATTTCAAAACTATTCATGATGCTTATGTATGAGATGCATAGAATTAAACAGAATCGTGTATCAGCAAAAGTTAGTGAACAACCATTGCTAATTTAACATAAAACTAACAGCTTAGCTGTCAATTTTTAACTGGCTGGAGAGGGGAGATGTTATGTTCTCCAAGGCTTCACAACCAAAGCATCTTATTTACTCCAAAAGCAAAGCAGTATTTACTGGAATGCAGCCACTGTTAGCCTGCATTTACAAACATATTCCTACACTAGCTGTCTGTATTTTTCAATACTTGCCAAGCTGTATCCCTAAAGAGGAGATTTGAGTCAAGAGGTTGGCCTATTTAGATTCACCTGTTCAGAGGATTTCTTCCAAAAGCCTGTGTATGACCATGTATGTCATTATGGAATAGTAACCAGCTATTACTGCATAGGTAGAACTGGCAGTCACTAGTAATTAAATGAGTAGAACTCTATTAAATTCCCAATTCACATCTACCTAAATTTCATATAAAGCAGCATCTCTTTCACAATACATACAATCTGATTTTATGAAGCAGGAAGCCTTCAACCAATGAGTTTTCTTCCACTAAATCTCTTAGAGAGGAGATGGAGTTTTAAGCTTTGCTTTTGTTAATTTCTGTTCTGTTTGTGGGACTACCTTACACAGCTGGAAATTGTGCTGATAGTCATAACTGATGCCTACACCATCCAAGGACTTACATATTTATGCCAGAGAGATGTTACTTAGCATAACTATATAAAAATTAAAAGAAAGGAGGAAATGATGCACTTTCAGTGTTAGAAATTTAGAACTTTGAATTTTCTTCTAAGCAGCTACAAGTTTTTAGATGGAAGATTCAAACCTTAAGTGTTGGTACATGCCACAAGCATTTCAGACACCCTCATATGCAATTCAAAACTTATTTTGTACACTACTATAAACAATTCAATGTACATTTATAGTAAACAATACATTTTAGCATTATTTAGTCTTAATTACAGGCTACACAAAGGAATTATTATTAAAGTATGACATTTCTCCTACCTATTATATAAGACTATTTGACAGTTTTTCCCCAACCACATGGAACTTGCACTTTTTTCTCTGATTCATTTTGATTTGGGGGTTTCTTCTGCTATGCTGTTGAGGGTGGGTGAGTGTCTGTCTGGGGGTGGTTTTATGTTTTGGTTTGGGTTGTTTGGGGTTTTTTTTAAGTGCTCCTTATCTTTTTCAAGGTTACTAGTCTTTCCTAATGCTCCTACATTTCTCATTTAAATAATTACATTAACACAGAATCTTAAAGTTTACGATTTTTCTGAAGACTACAGTGGTAAGTGTGTCACTTTCCAAATCACAATGCTTAAACACATTCCATAGGTAAACCAGTGAACGTTCATGCTCACTGTGGCTGGTCCCAGCCAAAGAAACACAAAATAACAAGTATACCATCCCCTCAATACAGCTGTTTCAAGGTTGATTGTATATCTTTAATTATGTGCCATTCTCTTTTGACAAGTTGCAGGCAGTACACACAAAGGAGGGTAAAACCAAACCCAAAGCAACAGGGAAAAACAGAAGCTGCAGGGAGTTGAGAGGTAAGAGAACACAAGATTTAAACTTTACAGAATGCTAAATTTTCAGGTCCTGTTAGGAAGTAACATAATTACACAAGAAAAAGGAATAATGAAGAAACCCTTTTTCCCAGCCTTATGCTAATGGCATACTTACATACCATTTAACTGCTACTAGGCACTGCTGGGGCAAAAAAAAAGACCAAACTTTTCACCTTTGGCGTATCATATAAAAGAACTCAAGGGTAAGTCTAGCCTAATATTGAACAGTGCAACACTCCCTCATTTTATTTGTTGTGAAGTTTCCATAATTTGGGGAAAGAATAAGAATAAAAACTTACAAAGGTGCCTCTTGGCCTGTTGACTCCCGCAAAACCAGAGTATTCTTTCTGTTCATGGTGGGTTTTGAACTCTTCATCTCTTTCCTTCTTGCAATCTTTTTCTTCTCGAGAACTGGATGAAGAAGAAGATGGGGAGGAAGATGGGGAAGACCTAGCATGGTCTTGATCTCTTTTTTGTTTACTGAAAAATAAAAAAATATACTATGTGCTATTTTAAACGTACTAGATAGTCTGTAACATGCTATACTAAACCGTGTCTCTATATTTTATGAGAAACTAACCCCCTTCTGGTTATAAAGTCACACGTGTTACGTATTTGAGATATTAAGGCGAAGTATAGTTCCACTTTCCAGCCTCCTCTTACACATTTAAGTGTATTAAATGTATATTATTGCTAGTGAGTTGGAAAGCAGCAGTCTGCAAACTGCAAAATAGTTTTTCTAGATTCTGACACCATGAAGAGATTCTGTTACTTTTAAGATCTGCCTTTCTTCTGAGGCAGAAAAGAGAAGGCAAAAAAGCCCTCAAGGCAAAGTTTTACAGAAACTTTACATAGTTCAGTTTGCACACTGTTGAGAAGATATAGTATGGGCTTCCCTACGTAGATGGTTGTAGGGAATTAGCCAGTGGAAGAAAACGTGGATACCGAAGTCAGAAAGTAAATGGGAATCAGGAAGCATAAGTTAAAACTGTCTATACAGTACAAAGCAGGGAAAAAATAATCCTACAGCAAGACTCTTAGTAACCCCATAGTGGCATTAATTTGACCCAATTTACAAGACTTTAATATTCTATTCAAAGAGATGTCATACCTGAAATAACTCTTACCACTTCTACACAGTATCCACTGAGATATGTTAATGTTTTTTTTCTTAAAACAGCCCACTGGCTTTAGACAAAAATAAAAATTCCCCTTCTCACCCATGTTAAAACCTAAGTATCAGTAAAATTCTCATACTCTGGGTGTTATGAGTTGAAAAAGTGCGGAATCAAGCATAACGAACCAAAGTTCTTACACAAACTGTTTATAGAAATGTACTGCATTGAAGTCCAACCTCCTGATGTAGCCTGGATAATAGGACAGATTAATTTGTCATTTTTTTTTTCAGTGTGTTAGCTTGCTATTCCAAAGTTTTTGTCCTCATCCACCATAAGCCGTGTAAAAGAGAGATAATACATATTTGCTGTAAAACAAATAATTTTAATTGTTTAAAATTAAATGTTCCATTATACATTGAAAATTGAAAGCAATTAAGCTTACAATTACAAAAGGCTAATTAGAAGCTATATTTCTATATAGGGACTTCAAATATTTACCTGTCATCTTTGTAAGATTTGTAATCCTTGTAATCTTTTGGAGTTTTCTCCTGTTTTCTTGACCCACTGGATTCCCTGGAACCCTTTGAGTCTCCTCGCTCTTTACTTCGTTCTTTTCTACGTCGGTCAATGTCATGACGAAGATCAGCAGAATCACACCTTAATTTTTTATCTCCCTGTAAACAAATATATATTTTGGAACAAAATTTTGAAATAAAACATCCAGAAGAGAATCTCAATGAAAAGGCAAGTTGGGCATCAATAAAAAAAAAAAAATATAGAATTTACCTATTTTTCAACAAACTTCAGCACTCAAATTGACTTTGCCCTTTACATGCAATGGCTACATCTAAAAAAAAGAACAGCTAAGAATTTCAGTTTCAAACAAGCATTCCCATCAAGGCAATGGGATATATCTAGTTTTTGGTGCATACAGACCATTAATGCATGGTGAATTGTTTTTAAGCAGAGTACAAGCAGCTTTGCAATTCAACCACACTAACTGACCAAGTGGGTACTTTCCCCTGCCCCAACACCTATTCTTTGTCCTTGGGCAGCTTAGTGGTCAAGAAACATGCAAGAAGAAAGGAAGCATGGGACGAGACTTGACCTGATATGCCACATTATCAATCCAACAAAATCATGCTACATAAATGAGCTTTTAGGTAACATGTTTTACTCAAAGGAAAAAAAATTCTAAATAAAAGTACTCTAGGTACTATAAATATAAATTACTTTTTTTTTTTAAATACACAGAGATGAAATTCAGATTTAAAAGGAAACTAAAAAATAAGTTTAGAAGCATTTAGGTAGGACATTTACTTAGAACCTACTTTTTGACTTTCTTCTTTAAAGACTCTCTCTTCACCTGCTAAACGGGTATGCTTCCTCAGGGTACTTGGAGAGATGTCAATCCTCCTAAATGTAAAATAAAAGCAGTGTCTTGCCATACACATATGCGACTGCTAATGGCCTCAAACACTTCTTTTCAACAGAGAACTGAGAAGGCATTTTTGCAAACAAACTTTTTGCATATAAAGACCCACCATAAGAATACAGAAGCAGACTAAAAACTAAAAACCTTGGTTCTGTTCTGTGTAAAGTATGCTAAAAACACAAATATAGGCAGATTGATGTTTCACATTTTAAGTACAGCTTTGAAGATACAAAAAAATGTTTAATGATTTATTTCAAAAGGATCAGTATATGTAGCCAGGTGAAAGCCCACCCCCTCTAAGAAATCATCAGCACTATGATAGTTAGCTGTAAAGTCAAAAATACTTAACAGTTAAGAAAACTTGTAGAGTTCGACACTGTATCCTCACATGCAACACAAATATAGTACACTGCATCATAAAATTATAGCACATGATCAGACACTACATCTGCATGCCTACCTTCTTACCTTTTGGGTTCTCAGATTTTTCAAAAAACTGCTGTAAATTAACACACACAAAAACTAAAGTAGTATGAGATGGAACATTTCACACTGAAGAAGAAAGATGCATGTACAGGGCTTCTTTTCATCTTCAAGACATATGCCCCTCAATATTTGAGCACTGCATGTGAGAAAAGTAAATATATCCCAAATGAGATACAGAGGTAGAGAAGACATCTGTTACAAAACCACAGATGAAGCCAGACTCGACTCAGATGAGTTCTCTTTTACAAAAGGGCTTTTTTTTTGGTATTTTGTAATTACACAAATTACCCCATACAGATTAGAAAAAAAATATTTTGGATTCTCAAAAGAAATATTTGCAGGCATTTTTGAAACACAAAGCATCTCCATATGAGGTTAACATATATACCTATGTATTTCTGGGCTCTTTTGTCGGGTGCAGTGTTCTTCAGTAGCTTTTTGATACGCAGTGAACCTCTCATTTAGGGTCATTCCAGCTGACTTGAAGTATTGCTCTGTTGGTTACAATAGAAAAAAACACTGTTTCATTAGTTTAATTCAACTGACAGGTATTTTACTCCTGACAAAGGCAAGTAACAGGCAATAAACAGTATTTTCTATAAATTAATCAGGACAAGCAAATGTGGCGATTTCCCTATTTTTCCACACCCTGTAACCCAAACAAAGTAAGTGCACAGCATCACCGCAAGTCTACTATGCCATGACTGTATTATATCTAATTCAAGCATCATTTACTGATTGGACTTGCTCATTTTCAATGACATTTTCCTCTAATGAAAGAGCAATTTCTTAAACAGTTACTTTATACTTTGCCCACAAGAGAAAGGGAATTTACTTTGAATACTTGCAGTAAGTACATTTTACCATTCATCTCATCTTTAACTTAAAATAATTGAGTTAGTGAAAACATTTAAGCAATGTATGCTTCAATAACTACATGAAAGACCTGACAAGTCTTTTCTTAAAGGAATACAATTTCTTGATTGGAAGTTGATGATAAACAATCCAAGACAATTAACACACCTATACCTAAGTAAAATCATTAAAGGATCTGGCATCTTGGCAAACTTGACAACTTCTCTGACAAATTTTCTCCTTCCTTCAAAGACAGTTAAATTAGCCACAGCAAAACTCAGTTTTCAAACCACCTCAACAAATGTGTTTAAATGTAATATAGAAATACATAAAGTCATGAGCTATGAAATGTTACATATGAAGCAAGCTATCTGCTTAACAGGTCAACATACATCTGTATCAACTTACCGCCCGGCATCCAGTATTTGTCTCATAACCAACCATTAAAACTTGAAACGGCCACTACAAGGGTAGTGCCTCAATCATAATTCCATCAAACACAGGAATTTGAGCTAGCAACTCTGTTTTTATGCCATTTTGCCAGGAAGACAGAAGATTCAACTTTGCCTGTTTGGCATCTGTATCTTTCAACAGCTATTTTACTTTTGTAACATGGATTTTGCCATTTCAAAACACATTCCAGGACCTAGTTACAATGAAAAAGAAAACATCACTGGGCATTTTCAGCTCTACATTAATAAAGAGCTGTTCAGACTGGTCGCATCACACCAATAATGAACATAACTTCAGTTTGTCAAAAGTGTTACTAAAAATCTGATCACAGATCATAGTAAATCTGAAATTTAAAGAGATGTTCTGCTTTCAAAAGCAACCATAACTGTACATATTCTAATAACTTGACTATATAGGCTGTTATATTTACCAGATATTTAACATACAAAAGTTTATAGAAAAATTCTATTCTGCAATCAACATGTGAGAGTTTCAAAAGTAGTATTTTCACCTACAGCTATATATGTACCATATAAGCAAAAACTTAGAGAAGCTCTCACTGGATTGAGCCTTAAATTTCTTGACATAGCAATAAAATAAGATATTTTCACAACAAATAATTATACTCTAAACAGGTGTCCCAATATTTTTTTTAATCTAATACATTACCATAATCCATTATTGTTGACTATTACCTTCTTCTTTATAAAGAATTCAAAATGCAGGAAATCATTTGCCCTTAATAATCTGAATTATGCCAACAAAATATTTTTAACTGAATGTCAGTGCATTTTTCCAGCACGTAAATCTTAGCAATTTTAAAATCTAACACATCTTAAAAACATTGCTTACAGATAGATTCATTGAAACTGGTCATCTAACTAAGTTATTCCATATTCCCCCTTATTATGATGATGTGGTAAAATTACTTTCACCAGCTCCATATTACCTCAGTTACATTTAACACAAAAACAAGACAACAGCCCAGTGAAACAAAGCAAGTGTTGTAGAAAAAAAGCATTTGAAGAACTCTCCAGACATCCCCACTGGATTTTAGGAATTACCTATTTTCCGATCATAAAAACTTAAGAGGATATATGACCTAAGTGAAATATATGTACTTTGATGATCTAGGCTTGGGTTTCAGTGTTTTGGGGGGGGACGACTTTATTTGTTCTCATTGGTTTGTTGAGGGGTTTTTTTGGTGTTTATATTCAACAGCCACTACTGTTAAAACAGAAAATTATTAGAGAGTAACTCATTTATCAGAGGTTTATTTAGCCACTGCCAAATTTCTTTAAGTGAAATTCCTGACAATGCTGTGAAGTAGGAATAAAATGAAATATCACCATGGATTTTAGCACCATTTAGAACACACTTTTTCCAAAATCTTACTAAGAAAAAGGCCCCCTTCTAATAAGAACCTGGAAATGATCTCTATGGTGCTCCAAAAGGAATGGCATTGTATTTACAGTACTAAAGACATCTGTCAACCCACATTGCACCACTTAATATAAATTGTGTATTAGAGCCATTAAAATAAAATTAAATAAGAAAAAATTGACCAATGTAGTATGTTTAAACTACACTGCAAAACTTTATATGCTACTTATGCTCAAAAATTTATCCAGAAACACAGTATAACTGCCACTACACTCTACACTGCTCGTGCTTTATTTAATGCTAGTGTCTGTGGCTATTATTTTTCTAATTGTTTTTATGCATACTTAAAAGGAAGAAAGTCTGGCTAAATCAACATTAAAAGAGGGCTGAAATCTTCCCACACTAGAAACAGCAAATAGGCTTAAATGAAGTGGTCAGACATGTACCCCATACGATGAACTACATACATACCTTTGACATGATGAACCAAGGACACAATGTGCTGAATAAATGACTCTGACGTGCTTTTGCTGGCCTGTGGCAACTTAATGTGGTCAAAGATGGATCGGAACTCTTGCTCCTTCTTGACGGAATGAACAAGTGTGCTAGCAAGCAGCCTGTCTTTAGTCAAGGAAGCAGGTCTAAAATGCATCAACAACAGAAAAGAGACACACAAAAAGAAACCACTAGTTTAAATAAAGATGAACAATACTGCAGACAAATGGAGAACCACACTGTAAAGTGGAATAATTTACCTATTGGAATCATCAAGAGGTACTGGTGCCATTTTGAGTTTAACTTCAGGACGATGGGAGTCACTGGCTATCATTTTGATCCTAAGTGGGCTCTCCTCTCTGAAGGTGGATTTTTCTCTCGCATCCAGATTCTTGTGTAGAGGGGGACTGTAATCAAAGAGTTCTTTGAGCTTTTCAGACTTTACCTGCTCAGGTGACTGAGTTTCTTTCTTCATCATTAGTCTCTCAGAACTCTTGTCTTCTTCCTTGTGCTTATCTTTTGTTGCACTAGGCCTTTCCACTACATAGCCAGTCTCTTTAAGCTTATAACTTTTCTCATCTCTAAATCCATCGCTCTCTCTATTGCCCTTGATTGATATTTTAGATTTGTATTTGGTTCCTTCCTCCTCAGCATTCCGGTGAGATGCAGTAGGAAAATTTTTACCCTGATCTGCCAGGACAGACTTTCTGAACTGTCTGTAATCCTCTGTCTCCTCTGTGTCCTCCCCTTCAGAGTCATTAAACTTTTCTTTCCCAGTCTCTTTATCAATGAAAAAATCTAAAGTTTCCTGTTCCTCCCATTCCCTTTCTCCCTCTGTCCTCCCTTTTTCTGATCCTCTCTCCTTCTGGGCCTCCTTCTCCCTGGTATTACCCCTATCAAGCAGGTATACTCTAGACTCTTCATCTGTGTACCTGTGGATAGCAAAGAAGAGACTGGTAACTCTGGATTGCATTCATTCCAGTTCACTTGCATTCCTCTTTCGTGTCAATCCCACACCAAGAAGAAGATGAAAATACATTCCTCCAAGCAATTAACTTTAGCATGCAACGCTTCGCACACCATTAACACTGTATCCATTGTCATTTATGCACTACTGGAGGCATCTGAGGAGACTACGTAGAAATTTTCTGCCAGAGTTTTTCAGAAAGTTACTTTTTTTTTCCTTAATCAGTACCCAGTTTCACATTCTCTTATACTAGTCATTTTGTCCATCAAGTTCACCTAAAGTTTGAGAATTCAGACTAAATTCATTTTACTGAAAAAGTTAAAGGAGTACCACAAAAAAGTGAATTCTTTTCAAGATCCAGCACATTACTAAGATAATTCCAGAATCTGAAACAGGCTTAGCAGGGAACCTTTAGAAGGCAGCTCTCCTAAATATAGGACCACATTTACCAGTTATTTCACACACTGCCTTATCTATACACTATTTTCACGCAGGTTCTAATACATTTGCCAACTCCAATACACCTAATCCAAGGGAAGTCATATTTTTGATCTTCTAAGCAGTAATTTTTTTACATAATAAATCACTGACTGGACAAATTCTTTTAAAAGCCTACAGTGAGGCCTACATAGCATAGTCACAACTTCTCTCTGTAACACATTTTGTAAGAAATCCACTGAAGTACCAGTCACATTAGAAAGGAAAAGTCTAATATCAGTAAGATTTTTACAACTTTCAGAAATTAGTACTATAACAAACATTTCAATAACAAATTGAAGAATTTTACATTCACTGGAAAATATACACTGAAGTTCCTTCACATCAACAGAATTATGTTCCAAGAATACCAAGACCAACTCTCTTTGATAAGTAATGCAAGTCAAGAAAAAGTTGTCATATAGCACCACACAATTAGCAATCAATGCTGTTTATGTTAACATAAAGATATCATTGCAACACATCAGCATTTTTCGAGTTCCAGAAGATCTGCATTTCAAACTACATGAAGCATTAAAATTTTGAAATACCTGAAGAGAATTCACTATTAAACAAGCAGGTCTGATGCACTATTCCAGTTAAGATTTTTCTTAACAGCAAAAAATTGAGTAGAAGAAAATATACCTTGAAGGAAAAGCACAAACCCATTCTTCCTCAAGGATACATATCCCTATCTCCACTAGCCAACAGTCAAGATCCTGAAGTGTCTTAGCATATACATGTTTCAAGCTCAATTCCAACCAGACTAATAGTACTAGTGTTCCAAATTGCCTTTTCCAATGTATAGTGACTATCTACACAAAAGTCTAACTTTTTAAGAGGCAACACAAGGCTTATAATTTCTTACCTTTTCATAAACTTTCCACCTTTTGCAGCTTCCTGTTCGCCACCCTCAGGATAAAATGACCGCACTCGAGCTTCCTCACGGGGGGCACCCTGTGATGGGATTGTCTTTGCAGGACTTCTCCTCGAAGGGATATGATGCAATGGGCTATTCTGAGAAGGGCTATAACGGCTAGAACCATTTCCAAGAGAACCAGAGCCAGACCTCTCAGGACTATGCTGAATGGAATGGGAATGTTGAGGTGTGTCCTTTGCTGAGTGGGCTGTGCTAAGCAAAGGGGCTTCAGAGCAAGATGAACTCTGACTAGGTGGGGTGGCAATAGAAGGACTATGGGGTGACCTTGGACTGTTATCATACGCTGAAAGGCCAGGCCAAATGTCGCCAGAAGCTGCTGATGATTTGTTAAAATCGTCAAGAGACTCTGATGGGTCATGTTCAAATGTATCTTTCTGTTCATCTTGTGATTTATTTTTCAAGGGGCTATCTTGCAAAGGAGCCCCTTCAGTTTTCTTTGCCTGCTTTTCCAGAGACGCACGTCTTTTGGAAGAGACAGGTGATTTGCTGTATGGGGATGAAGAACGAGATGAAGAGGACCTCGGGGACCTGGAAGATCTGTAAGATCGACGAGATCTGCTCCGGGACCTCTGGGAAGACACAGACCTTCGTTTTGGACTTCTGGAACGTGAACGGCCACGTCTGGGGCTTCTGGAGTGTCTTCGGTTCCAGACAGGCCTATAACCTCCACGATGGTATCTCCCACCTCCTCCTTGATAATACCCTCTACCTCTTCCTCTGTAACCATAGGGACGTCTCATTCCTCTATTATTTCTGTAATCTCTGCGATAATCTCTAGAATAAACACGATCCCTGCTGCGGGATCGTGAATACGTCCTTGACCGAGACCTAGAACTAAAATTAAAAAGCAAACATTAACATCTGACAATTGGAAAACCGAAAAGAAAGAAGTGCCTTGACACTAAATGCTAGATTTCTCAAATGCAGTTAGAATGCTAAACGATGTGGACTAACAGTCTTACAGTAACTTCTATGATCTCTATTTATTATTTCTGTAATATATGGAATCACAGAATCAGATAGGTTGGAAAGGACCTCTGAGATCATCAAGTCCAACCCTTGATCTACTACCACCACAGTTACTAGCCTATGGCACTAAGTGCCACATCCAATCTCTTCTTAAATACCTCCAGGGATGGAGGTATTTAATCCCCACCTCCCTGGGAAGCCCATTCCATTTTTATTACAATAAGCATATTTATACTTCTAAGGACTATGAAACTCTGCATCACACGATTAAGACGTTAGCAGCCTTAGTGGCCTGCCCTGCCATTTTATTAGAGATTATCACCACCCTGGAATATGGCATTTAGCTTCTCAGGCACCCTGGTTCACAGCCTGGAACATGAAGTTACATGACCCCCAGTTTAACATGACAGCCTCATGATAGGAGCTGATGAGGCAGTAAACATTCAATTGACCCACTTCTTTTATGGGAGATGGTAAAGTCCACTAATAAGAAAATGAGCAGAAGGCTGGAGGCAACTGAGAAGACAAGGTACAGCAAAGTTTATCTACTAAAGCCCTAAGTTACTTCAGATATGAAAAGCCAAAGTAGAAATACAGAGTAAGAATAAAAGAATAAGAATAAGAAATTATAGAGAAAGAGAGTGGACAAAGAAAAGATCTTATGAAGGGAAGAATCAAAAGGGCCACAAATCACAAAGAACCACTAGCATTCCAAAATTATCTTGAGATACAGGAAAATGGGAAAAAAACCCTGATTATTAAACAAAGTAATGAAAATTACATTCAAAGCATAGTTTGCCTACTGCCTAAAATGAAATAAGATCCCAGGTTCACTTCTGCCAGAGCATCATGCAAACGAAAAACATTTTACTGGCAAAACCTGATATACCAAACCACCTTTTCATGCAGTACGACAAACTTACCTGTATCTCTTTTTCCTTGAATGTGATCTGGATCTCGACCTAGAGCTGGACTGAGATCTGGACTTTGATCTTGAAGAATGTGATCTAGAGTTAGATCGACCCATTTTTCTCAGTAGATATACTCCTTCCCAAAAGGAAAAGCAACGAGGAGAGGGCAAAAAAATGGAAGCAACTATTTAAAGTCCATGTAAATGATAAAAATGAACAAAATGTGTATATACTAAAATGACGGTATTAGAAAGAAGTATAGCATTTGCTAAATGAACGAACTTTGGAGACATTATGAGTACATTTATTAGTAAATTAAAAGCTCAACCACATTTTAAAAAATTTAACACTGCTGCAGTGCACACACTTTGTCTGAAAAGATAAAGTATAGCAGTAAAAGGTTTTCCAGCTTTAACTGCAAGCTGATCCTGTAGAAGAAAAGAAGAAACAGAAAAAAAACCAAAAATATAAACTAAAAAACCCCACCATTTCTGCAAGTGAAGACATGAATGATGTAACTCTGGACATTTTGATGTATTTTAAACAGAATTCTTGCTATTGTGCATTTTATAGTTTCCTTGCATTTCCAATCTACTATTCCCTCTCTGGAAGGAGTTTTAAGTCCACTACAATATACCTTTTACACAGGGAAAAAAAAAGGCCTAAAGTATTCTGTCCAGCAGTTGTTAAGTTTGAGCCACAGGTATTATTTCTCTTTCACCACATGTACTAAAGCTAATCACACTAATCCGATTTTCCACTAGTCAAGATGCTCACCCTGTATCTTTTGGGTTAAGTTTGCTTTTTAATCTATAAGTAAAATGCATGGTCAACTTAAAGATTCTAACAACTAGTTAAATAATATGGCTTGCACCAAAATTCAACATGTTTCAGCACAAAGTAAACTATGAGAACTACAACTGATTATAAAGCAATGAAACCTTATTAAAGAAATAAATGAAAATAAATAATAAACTATCACTTCTTCTTACACATAGTCACAGTAAATATTTAGAATTAATGCTAACCATAAAAAAATACACACCTTTTCCTTTTCTTTTCAGATCAGTGGCTAAAAATCCCAAATTTAATTAAGAAAAACTTTGACCCATTACCATTTTCTTTTCAAATTGCCCAGCTTTAAAAAAAAAAAAAAAAAAGGGTCATATTAGACAATCTGAATATAAACTATTAACAAGTAACTACATATTTTCAGGCCTTTGAATGCTAAATAATCATCACTGTTTAATAATAATTTAAACAGAAATGGATTTAGTTTTTGTGTTGCAAATAGGCTTTAAAATCTAAAATTACTGTATTAAAAATACAGGCTCAACACAGCAAGGTACTTTATATAACCTTTCTTGTTACCTGGGTGATACTTCAATTATGTAAAGACAAAAACAACATCAGAGTATAATTTTAAGTTAATAAAATTTCAGAGATTTTAGACACATCTAAGAGAACTCAACAGAAAAAAGCAGACTAACCTTTCCCCTATTAACTGGTTCCTCCTGCCCCATATGACTTTCCCCACAAGTCCGCATGGCCCCAGAGATGTAACCTCATCTGAAACTAACCCAGCAAAACTTTTAAACCTAAACTAGCTCTACATGTAACTCAGAAAAAACAATTTAGCTTGGTGAAGAATATGTAGAATGCTGTCTTTTATGGGCTCATTCCACTAAAAAGCAAATTTGCATAACCTATTCTCAGAAGATGATTTCTAATTCATTGTGTTCAATTAAACTCACAGAAAATAGCTTATAATCTTTTAAGCTCAATACTCACAGGCAACATAAATTTTGAGCTTTTAAAGTGTAAGACATGACACATGCCAATTTTCCAAGAGTGACAGAAAAAAAACCTGATTTTTTTCTGTTACAAGTAATTTTCAAAGCAAACATCAGATGGACAATGTTTATGATATAAACCAATCTCAGCTTTAAATTAATATATAGTTATTTTCCCTGTGCTCAACAATAACGTTTATACATTTTGCATTCTATGTATGACAAGTGTAGTTGATCTTTACAAGAGATAGACTGATTTATAAAGTTTTATATATTGAAGCTTCTTATTGCAGTTATAAATTTTAGGAAAACAAAAGCAGTTTTAATTTTCAATAGTTGGGTTCAATCAGAACCTTTAAAAGTAGAATTAAGATAAACTTACCTCAAACTGTTAGTTGGGGCCAATGAAGAAATTATATCAAAACTCCCTATTTGTGCTTTCAGGAATACAGATTCCTATAGAATAGAAAACGAGACTGTCAGAGACATGAATGTTCACTAAAGGAGAGGTAACACCTTTTGTTTAAAGGGGTTCAAACATTAACCTGTTTATCATGAAAATACAACACATAAGAAATAGCAAATTTACTCTTGGAAGGGTGGTGAAGCTGCATGCTAAGACCGGAGCAGGTCAAGAGCCAGCCACTGTCAAGTGGCAAATCCTACTTCCCTTGCACACATGACCACTCCTCCTTCAGCCTTGCTTCTCGGGCTGTGTAACACTTTATCTTCCCAGCACAACAGCCCTGACATCCTTCAGGTCCTTCAGTAACCAAGCTCTTGATACCCACAAACCACTTCCACGTAAATAGGTTATCGAAGTGGCTTAATGAAGTGCCAAACTGAGCTGGATTATGGAGTAAATAAAAGCATGCAGCCAGAAAGAGAGGGGTAAAAAAGACAGTGACAAACTGTTAGACCAGTTTTAACTCTAATACAAAGCTTTGCACTTCAATGGAGCTACCATATTGGAAAGAAAATAAACTGGGATGAGGACTTAGGCCAACAGTGAAAGCTTTATCTTTAGGTTTCTCTTGGAACATTTACAGAAGCGTTACTCTGTTATACCTTCTTGTTTAAAATGCAAAAACATCTGATTTTACCTAAATAGCCAACAACTTCAAAAACTAGCTCTTTTGAGGTTATACAGAAACAAAGAACAATTGTAATAACAAAACCAGTCTCAAATGTATGAATTTTTCACTGGACTCAGCTTTTAGCTACCTTCAAGCCTTAAGACTATGTACATTTGCAATCTGGCTCAACATTAGGCAAATTTTTCAATTTCACTAATGCAATGAAACAGGAATTTTGTCCCAATTCAATATAGACAGGATGGGTCTCCCAGAAACTACATCTTAACAATTTATTCATTAAATCTAAAGACATAAGATATCCAATGCTCCTAAAATGACACTTTCACACCTGTTCACAGACATTTTCTTCACCTAAAAGAAGAAATGTAGCACTCGTGTTCATAAACACTGCTTTCAAAAGTCCACTTACCATTCACTAGTAGTGACCAAGATATTTCCAATTTCTACAAAATATATGCTTTATTAAGATTAAGTTTTTACTTCTCATCATCAGCAAGCATGAGTCTCTGAAGGAGCACAGTAGTGTATCGGACCATTTCAGATTTTGTCTAGACAAAAGGCGAGATGGTATTAGCTAGTAAAGGTCAACGAAGGCATTTAGAAGTCTACTATAGAAAAAGTAATACAAACTTCAAATTCAGTCCAAGATTTTTAAAAAATACTTAAATAATATATATTTCTGACTTTAACTGGTGTTAGCTGAAATCCACATCCTAATTTAGACAAGACTTTAGATCCTGGGGATATAGAACAAGATAGTTACTTCACCTTTAAAACCTCTAAGCAGAAGACAAGATCTCATACTCTGGCAGTCAGTTCTTCATAACTCAAACTCCTGTAGTCAGTTCCACACAGTTTTAGGAATTTTCCCTAACAACTGGCAAATGTGAAAAGTAGCCATTTCTTTCTTTTTTTTTTTTAATTAAACAAGACATTGGATTTACTACACCCAACCCTGGCAGCTAAAATATATTTGCTACCCTCTTCCCAAAAATTTTTTTTTATAAGAAGAGTATGGATGTAACAACACTTTAAAGAAAAAGAGCTTTGAACATAAAACCTTAACTGTTGAATAAAAACCACTCAACTATATGCAGCTTATGTTTTGATTTAATTGTAATAGGTAAAACCTTGACACACAACATCCACTTATCCAAACAACAAAAACTGAAAAGACTAGATTGCTGGTGGGTTTTTTAGTCTGTGTAAATATTCTCATAATATGCAATAATCTCAAATTTTATTAACCTCTACTAAAGCTTAATTAGAAAGAATAATGGTAATAGAAATATGTAGGAAAACAGCTCCTTTTCAACAGTAAGCTTCTATGTGCTGCATACTTTCACAGAAAAAGTACACATTCCTCAGAGCATCACAACTAAATCATACATTTTAACAGTAGCAAATGAAGTCACCCACAGCCTCTTCCTGTAGACTCTGGTGCTCACTGTCTGTCTGTAGTGGCTACACCACGCCAAGTAAGGGCACCAGTACTAAAGGCCAAGGAAAAAGAGGTCGTAAGCATCATATGTTGCTATGCAAGAGCAGCTGCCCCTCTCACTTCAGCAAGCGAAGCTTCCTCTGGACTAGTCTCAGAAAGAGACCCACAGCCTGCCAGAGGTGCACATTAACAAGGTGACACAAGATGACATTACTAACACCAGTGTTTTTAAGACGACCACGACTCCAAGGAACATGGCCCATGCCAGAAACACCAGGGCTATAATCCCCACACTTTTGGCAACTCAAGCTTCTTTTACCCTTGCCTTCCACCCTAAACGGTAGAAAGGGGACACCTAGCTCTCAGTCATTTCACTTCCATGTTAAAAAAAATCTGGATTTTACAAAGGAAGCTGCTAAAGCTCCACAGTACTTTAAACCAGAATAAACTGGCTCTGCTAGTTTAAAGAAACTGTCCCATCTCTCCCATCTTGTGTGTCCTCACATTCCTGATGATTTCCCTTATGCCAGTACAAGTATTTCTGCAAGCACATACTAGATTACTTTCAATACAAATTATTTTTTCTGATATGGCTCATTACACAGCCCCACAAACATCTGGACCAACACAGGGAAGTTGAAATAGCAGCCAGACAGGTCTGCTTCTTTTGGCAGCAGCACAGTCTTAAAGCTTCCCTGAAACCAGCCTGGCATGGTGCTCAGAACCAATAAACTTGGTATTTAAGCTTTTTAACAGTACTTGCAAGCAGCTTTAAAAAAAAAAAAAAAAAAAACACCCACACACACAAAGCCCTCACCAAAACAAACTCACACCCACGAAAATAAAAACAACGCAAAACCAAATATTCCCAAACAACCAAACCTAAACACAGAAACCATGACTTTTTAAAAAATTGGCCAGTTCATCACCTCTCAGATACTGAGTCACATTCAAAAAATGTTTCTTAATGAAGTAACAACAGGATCTGTGTCTTAAATCAGTCTTGGCCAGCAAGTGTAACCATTAAGCAAAAACAAGATATGCACCAGAATACCACAAGACAGGAACAAGGAAGCAACACTGTTAGCATTTGCTATTTTTAATAAAAAAATAAAAAGGACAAGGAAATCTGTTTCCAGCTCCTTTTAAACATTATTTTTCAGAGTCTTTACCACACCACTGATGTTGAAATTTTCTCAGAGTACACAAGCTGTAGATACAACACATCTCTTATGCCATTTTACAAGTTACACACCACAGTTGAGTTTAAGACATTTTAGGACAGTTATACCCACTTAAACTAGCAAAATACTGCTTCCTTTTAGCTTCACTATTTTAGCTATCCTTCATTTATAGCTATTTAGTAGCCTGTATTTCTCTTGCTTAAGCATAACTTGAGAGCTGTCAGGAAGATTTAAATCAAAATCTTGATAAAGTAATTCACAAGCTGTTTCCAAAATGCATTTTCATTCAGAGATTCAGACTTCAAAAGACGTGGGGATTATACAATCATGACAAAACAAAAGGGGATAGGACAGTCCCTGAGAAATCCCACAGAACTTGTAGTATTCTCTCATAATACACATACTGAATTACAGAAAGCCTCAGTGAGACAGCACTGTAAGTCATGTATTCAGTGCTTGCACATCTGCCATGCTTTCTTATCCACTCTACGTCTCCCCTCCCTTTTCTTTTAATGTCCACAATCGTAGCAGCGGTACATTACATGTAGGAACAGAATGCATTTCATAGTGACTGTAGACCTGTGCTACTCAGATCATCAAGGACTTAGATTCCTATAAATACTAAAATTCCACAGCAAATTTGCCCAAACTATCTTGCAATATACAAATATGACCTGGGAAGCGTTATTTTCCCTATTTCACATACTGGAAATATAATGGAAACAGTAACATACGATGACCTTTTTTCCCCCAAAATTAATTCATTTCTTTATAGAAAACAATACAAAATACTTGTAAATTAAGTCAAAACCCAGCAACCTAGTAAGAGCAAAATCACCTCTGCAAAACTGTCATATGATTGTTAGCTGTTCTTTTATGTAATAGTACTGGCAAACAAATGCATGTCTCTCCTCTAACTAAAAAACAGAAAGCAAAGTGACTTTAAGAAATTTGTCAATACACAAAAAAGCAATTAGCGTGCTTTTGGACACATGTTGTTTTGGACAGCCTTTCTTGTTTTTTGGGTTTTGTTTTGGGGTTTTTGTGTGTGTGTGTGAGTTTTAAGCACAGTGTTTTCATAAGCCCTTACGCAGTGGTTTCCACAGTCTTTGCGATGAAGTACCAGCATGCTGTTGCAGAAAAGGCAATTGTCCCTCCCTCATTTGTTTCAAGACTGATACCACAGCTTGGTGGGCGCTGCAGCAGTGACCTGATCCAGAAGAAAACTACTCAGGACAAAAGCTGACTTTTCAGGTCTCTGAGATCCCATTTACCACAAGGCTCCAGGGAGGGCAGAGCACAATGAACAAGACACCGGTGCATTTTTTCAGAACACCTTTGGGAGAGACTCTGACAAACAGAACGCAGTTGTAACCCGAAGGCTTACTTTCCTCATCAGCTTCCTTCACCTATCTCTGCTGTAAACAATCCCTAAATGTTCTCTGGCATTCCTCAAACCCCTACATCACTCTCTCTCCTTGACAACCAGTCTGAATATAATCCATTTAAATACCTGCACCCTAGATCCAAACAGTTCCCCGCTGATCTTTTCCAAATGCCTACAACCACTCCAAGTTTTTTGCATCCCCGGTGGCAACAGGCCCTTCTCCACGGTACATGATGACCTCCCTACTTCCCCCAAGAAAGAATTCTCTCAGCAACAACTTTCACCTGTGGCCTCCACAAAGGAGGGCCCACTAAAGTCTTGGTCAGGAGAGAGGCAGTCACCAACAGATGTAACACACTGAACCTCGTCCTGCCATTCAGCACAGGCTGTCACTCAACATCAAAAGCGACGAGTGGGAGGATGCAATTCTTACTCTCCCTGCCATAAGAAGCTGCATGCTTCCAGCACACATCAGTGCCAGAGCCTTTATCCCCTTGTTTTACCCACTTTTGTCCAAAGCAATGTGATTGTAGGAGAGGAGAATGAGGAGGAAAGGGGAGAAAGACAACAGCTAGACAGCATTTTCCCGGAACCCCACGTTCTTTAATCAATCCCTCCCACACCGAGAACAACTACTCTAAGTGATGTTTTTATACATTTACAATATGCCAGCCATTGCTCAAGCAGTGACTACTTGCAGCGTCAAGAGCACCTTTGTTTTGCATGCCCTCGGGTCTTTCTGTAGTAAAATTTAACTGCTGCAGTGAAGGCAAAACTTTGATCTCCGAGATAAACAAGTGACTTGGTAAAGGATCACCATGACACACAAAGCAAGAATCTGACTCTCACAAAATTAAAAGTGAAAAGTAGGAGGTTTACAAAGCAAAGGAGAAATAATGGCTAAGATTCTGCAACTACAGGCACACTACAGTGTGATCAACACTGGGAACACAATGGCCCCTTTCACCAAGGGGCATAAAACCCACTCCTGCCCCTCACGGGGCTTTGCGAGCATCTGTAAGCAGGGCAGGGAAAGTGCGGGGTATTTCAGGCACCAGAGCTCGAACCACTGCCATGCCCTCAGGGAAGTTCCTCCATCAACCCTAAAGGCTGATCCAACACCGGGAAGCATCCTTTCTCCCCAGCACCGTTTCCCTCCTCGGCGTCACACCCGCCAGGATAACGGGGAGATTTAACACTCCCGTAATCTACGCTGCACAACCACATCCCCTCGGGCCTTCCCGCCTCCCACGGGAGGCCCAGAGCCAAAGGCCGCACTCCCTGGGCGAGGCCTGGCGGGGCCGGACGCCCTCTCCCCACACCCCCGCTTCGCAGGGCTTCCAGGGGCCAGGGAACAGCTACAAGAGAGATCAGCCGCCGCTTCCCACCGCCCCTTCCCCCTTCTACCTTCGGTTCCCGGGGCGCCGTCCAGGCGCGGGGAGGAGCGACGCCGGCTCGGCCCGGCTCCCGCGGGAAGCGGCGGCCCGCGGCAGGGCGGTGACGGCGCCCGCCCGCTCCCGTCCCTCTCCCGGGGTCTGGCCTGGGATAATCGGGATAATCGGGATAATGGCTGCGGAGCGCCGAGGTCACGCGGCAGCAGAGGGCGGGACGGCGCGGCGCGCGGACAGCGCGCGGCCCGGGAGGGGGAAGGGAGGCGGGAGGAGGCGCGGGGGGGGCGGGGCCGGGCCGGGCCCCCCTCAGGCTGCCCCCGCCATCTTCCCCCAACCCGGGGCCGCCGCCCCGCCGAGCCTCCTCGCGGCCCCATCGCCTCCCTCACCTGGTGGGCGGAACTCCCTGCGGCCCCGGTCCCCTATGGCAGCCGCGCAGCCATCTGGCGTCGGGCCGGAGGGAGAGACGCGGGCCCCGCGGGGAAACGGAGAGGAGCCACCATAGGGAGCGGGGCGGGATACGCGTCACTTCCGCCCCGGGCGGGGAAGCGCTGGCCCCGCGCTCAGCGCCCGGGCGCCATCTTGGTTTCGGGTACCGGTCCTTAAGCAAGATGGGGGAGGGGACCGCCTGGCCCCAGCCCTGCCGCGTCCCTGCCCCACACCGCGGGCTCCGCGCCCGGCTCGCCGCCCTCCGGCCCCGTCCCACACCTCTGCGAATAAAAGCTGTCGCCTTTTGTATTCTCGTTTCCCGAAGAGGCGCGGGGGGCTGGGCCGCCCTGGCCGTTGCCTGGTTACCTCCGGGGCGGGGTTCGCATCCATGCACGGGAGTCTCCTGGAAGCGCTTGTGTGTGGAGCGGAGCCCAGCCAGCGGCTCTTCATCCGGCGGCAGTGGCAGCCGGTGCTCCTTGCGCTGGCAGGGAGATGGCGGTGCCGCGGCGCTTCACTGCAGCAGCTTTTGCAGCAGATGGGCGCCCGCCGCCTGGGTGCGGTACAGCAGCGCCACGTCCGGGAGAAGCGCGCCCGGGGTCTGGGCCTCCAGGAATGTGCAGCCGACGGCTGCGACTGAGCAGTGTTGGCTGATGCGCGGGATGTGTGTAGGCTGGCCAGGTCCTAAAATTCACAGGATCACAGAATATGCTGAGTTGGAAGGGACCCACAACGATCGTCGTGTCCAACTCTCAGACCTGAACAGGTCCATCCCCACGAATCACACCGTGTGCCTGAGAGCATTGATGAGCCATTCATGCTACTCAAATCTTACACAGCTTGTTTGTTTTGTCGAAGGCTATTGCACATTATTTCTGAGACAAGAAAAAAACATATTAAAAATAGCAAGAAAGGATGCGCATACACCATTTCAACTGAGTTTTTAAGTTTGGGAGACACTGACTGAGAGGCAGGCAAAAGCAAAGGATAAGAGGAAAAGCATGTAAGATGCAAAGCAGACATAATCCCCAAGTGCTGCTTTGCTGTTTCATGTGTAGGGAAAGTGATGCAGTGCTTAGATCAATTTCTTTTGACTCTTAAGTTTTTTTAAGCTTGGCCTTGTATGGATGTAGCAACCAATGAGTAGTTGGTACTGAAATAAATACAGTGAAAGGTTTTAGTTCTCACCAGTTGTGGTTAACTGATGTGGTTAACTCTCTGGCCTAGAGAGGAACACAAGCACACTCCTTTTATGGTTTTTTTTCTCTTCTACAGGGATAGGGTTAATTTACCTGTACCTTAAGTGCAGCACCTGTGCTACACCTTTTGCTGTAACCAGCAATATTAGGAGCAGGCTCCTTGATCTGTGACAATGAACTCACGAGAGGAAGCCAATTTGCCAGGGCCTGTATGGTTTTTAGAACCGTCATGAGATTTAGCTGCATGCAAGACACCTCCTCCTGTTTCTTAATAGTTCTGAGAACTGATGGTATGCTCATGCAGGGACACCTTCCACTAGACCATGTTGCTTAAAACCCCATCCAGCCTGGACTTGAACACTTCCAGGGATAGGCATTCACATCTTCTATGAGCAACTAACTATTAAGTTTTTTGCCCTGACCCATGTGCAGGACTTCGCACTTGGACTTGTTGAACTTCATGAGGTTCACGTAGTCCTTTCTCTCAAGCCTGTCCAGGTCCCTCTGGATGTCATCCCTTCCGTCCAGTGTGTCAACCACAATGCTCAGCTTGGTGGTGTTAGCAAACTTGCTGAGGGTGCACTCAATCCCACTGGCACCAACAAAGATTTGTGGGGCATAAGCCAACATATGATACATGGGATATATCTTATTGGAACAGAAAGGGTGGAGACTTCTACTCTTTCCGTTCTCCATTGTATTTAAGACAACATGCTATGTGTCCAGAGGAAACAAACTATAACATGAAACTTTTTGAAAATATATTTTAATTATTTCAAATATACTTGTCTAATGACAGTTAATGCAAGTTGTTTTGAAATTTTGTTCACTCCTTGTTTTACCAAACATTTGACATTTGGGTTGTGTGACCCTTCAGTGTAGCCCCTTTGTAGCAAAAACATCATGCACCTGTGCTTTGAAACACAAACCAGAGGCTTTCTAGGGGTATTGATATGAAATACAACCCGACAGGTCTCCCTTTCTTCTTGATGCCCTAATTTATTTGTAAAATTGGGATAATTTATCTTGTAAAATTTGAGATTTTTTTTTATACAGTTTGTTCAAACCTCTAAGGTACATGGGCACTTTTGACCTGCCTTTGATATTTTAGAGGCACTACCTTTTGCTACTAACCAATAAAAAATATATAAAAAAATTCAGTTTGTGTGCTTATTATTATCGTAGGAAACACAGTAGCTCTGGGCATGACACAAACTGCTGCTTTATTTGAATGCAGCAACAGTCCAGAAAATTTACAACAAAATATGAAGTTCAAGACAACAGGAAGAAACATGAAGATACATAAAGACAAAGCAGTACAATAATACTGTGCCATCACCAGCCCAAGCCAGATTCTTGGTGACTATTAGCAGATGTTCTCACTGTTCAGTGAGATGGCTGCATAGCTGTACATCATCTGAGTACTAACACAGAAACAGGGAATGAGTAGTATAGTCCATCGTTAGTAGTCAGCAGTGAAACTGGGTTGTCCCATCAGGGAATGCCACTCCTAAGAGTTACAAAATGATAATATAACCTCAGTTCCAAAGATTTACTAGGAATGAAGAAACACAGAGAGAGGCTGTCTTTAATGTCTTCAAAAACAGGAGCACAGACTCGCAGAAGTTATTGATGTTACTTACCATCTTTAGCCTGGGTCTTTACATGCAGTTGGTACTTTACAAGACATCCACATCTATAGCAGCTGCTCCTTCTTTTAAAACCTTGTTCAGTTTTACACCCCTTTGAGTGGATTTTGTCAATCCATGAGTGGGACAAGGCTCAAGGGAGCTGTGTCAAGGAGATGCTTCAGTAGATGGCACTCTCCCTCTGAAGGAGGATGAACAAATACCTCAGCCAAGGAATTTGATGCAGTGAGAACAACTTCCTTCATACCCTACAAAATTGCAATGAATGCAAATGAAGATTTGCTTAGCTATGCAATGAAGTAACCACTGACAAATTTTCACAAACTGATCTATCAAGTCCTCACATCTGACTTCCTACCTACAGTAGTCTGTTACTGTTCATCTTAATTCCTCCTGAAATTGTATTGGTGAATATATAAATAAATACACACACGTACACAAGTGTATATTTTTTATATATATTTGTTATATGTATTTCTTGTATATATATACAAATATTTAAAAGAGCTCAGTAGTAATGTAAGTTGCACACATTAGACTCAGGCTTTACAGTTGTTCTGCTTCCTCAATCATCTTTTTCAAATTCATTATTTTATTCTACTCTTTTGTTAATGGTAGGTCCACTTTGAGGACTTAAATCCTTTGGTTTGTTGATTGTTTTCTGTTGGTATTTTGTAGTCACAAAATTTCATAGGTCCAGAAATTGTTCAAACCAGTTTAGAGAGCAGTTGCACTGAATTAGTACAAGTGAGGAGGCCTTAACTGTGGGTATGGGAACAATAAAGACCTGCTAGGCATTAGGGAAGCTATAACCTTTAAAATCACATCTGTTGCTAACCAAGCAGTAACCCACAGCCATTGTACAGCTTTCCAAACTGCACAGGGATTTCCTCACCCTTGAACAGGAAGGAGAGAGAAGAGAGTGAAAGAAACGTGTATAAGACAAAGTTGCAATACAAAATGTAATGGTATAAATTTATAAAATGCAAATTTAATTAGTTCAATTTTTTAGATTTTTGGATTCTTGAGTAATGTAAGTATATTCTTTCCATTTACTGCTGTTTAACCACTAGACCACCAGGGGCTCCGCCGAGGCCTAGGTTTGATTCCTGGTCAGGGCCACTCCCGGGCAGGTGGAGCTCGTTAGCCCTTAAAGGCAACCCACCTACATCCTGAGGACCTCACTGCCACCGTCCAAGCTCACTTGGCCCCGGCAGATGAACCTTAGGATTAAAGGGTGGGCTCAGTTCCGCGCACACTGTGTCTCACCTAAAAAATCCAATGCGCAGGCTGGAAGGTGTAAAGACCTTCCCCGGATCTTCGCTCGCGAAGACTGACCATTACCATTACCACTTACCACTGCTCTTTAAGCATGTAAGTATCTGTTTTCTTACTTGATTGGGTCACAAATCAAATAAGACTACATAAGTTTTGCAGTCACTGCCTCTCCTCTACACTCCCCAAAAATCCTTTTTTCATTGATTAAAATCACAGTGATAACAGTATTTATAAAACCCAGAACCTGGAGCTATAATTTTTCTACCATAGCTCAGATAAAGCTGACCTGTTTTTTCCGATATTCATGTCAAAGCCTGAGGGTATCTTGTGGCCTGTTAGGAGGAAGAGGCCCTAGGTAATGTACAAAAGAGGAGTATAGAGAGTACTTGTATACA